GCCTGGGCCCGTGCAGGTGTCGCAGGCTCGGTGGCAGGGCACGCATTCTCCGGCGTCGCGGTCTCCGTAGAAGCCGGCGCCACACTCGGGCACGCAGCTGCCACCTTGTGAGGGAGAACACAGGGAGGGCTCGCGCCTGAAGGCAGCCCTCCGCCGGCTTAGCGTGGCGCTGTGTGCCAGCCAGCGTCAAAACAGGCTGCAGGGCACCTCCAGAACGTTTTTGACTGTTTGTTTTGAAAGAAACCAGGGTAGCTTTAGCATATTTCGATCAAGGAGCGTGGCCATCAGCTTAAAGGGTAAGGAGCTTAGCGTCCTTAAAGCCTTAAAACACTGCAAATAAAGTGAATCTCTTGAGAAAACCACTGAAGGTCACTGTCTCGACACTATTCATTCTTCACCGGGAAGGCACAGCGTATTACACGGCTATCAAATCAGGGCATTGGCTGGAACCTAGGATCTTGTTCACCTCTTACTGTGCTCCGGAATTTACAACACGGATTAAGCCCCAAGAAAAGGGTCGTGGTTCTGAATGTTCGATTCCCAAACATTTCTTCTCCCTCCTACTTCCCCCGCCCTGACCCAACTCGCTCTCCTGTCCACCAGCTTGGAGATGCGAGATGAATTAGTGAAATACGAGCCATGCTTCGGTAATAAATGCAGAAGGAAGTAGTCCTGGTTAATATTTATTTTCAAACTAAATTAAAATTCCTCGCTGGACCAGAGGCACCGGCACGGAAAGACGCTGAAGCCTTGGGCAGGAGCGCGCCTAGCAAGCCTTGCTCGCCCTTCCTGCGCCACCCAAAGCCACTTACCAAGGAGGAAGAAGCTGTCTTCGCACCAGAAGCACACGTTCTGTTGGCAGCTGACGCAATTCGCGCTGCAGGCTCTGCACTCCAGCCCTTCCCTGAAGGTCTTCTCCGGACAGGCTTTGTAACAGTGGCGCTCGAACCTGGGGCGAGGTGCGGGTGAGATGCGGACAGCTAAGTGCAGAGCTTCACCTCCGCACGCGTCCACACAGCAAATGCTTGGAACAGCAGCAGGCGGTTGAATTTCAACCGAGGACACTTCCTCTCACTCTGGGCCGCCCCAAGTGCCTTGCCACCTCCTTCAGGACCTCTGAAGACGCTCAGAGCAGGAGGAAGGGGCGGGGGTGAGGAAAGGCGCCCACACTTGGGTGTGGAGCCCCGATCATGTCCAGGGTCGGCTCATGTGGATCTCTGCCCAAGTCCTATGTGGTAGATATTTCTTTGATTTCTAGATACGGAGACGGAAGCGCAAGGGCAAGTGCACAAAATCCATTTAAAGGTGGGACCAAGACTTAAAACAAAATCTGCGGGAAGAGATAGCTAGTGTGATTTGCTGCATTGCAGCTAGCACTTAGGCTGAGAAGCTCAGTGATGAGTGAGTGCCTTAGCTTTTATTTGCATACACAGCATATATATATATATATATATATATATAACATAAATATAAATATATTCCACCAAACAATGTATCTACCCTTCAGTAATTCACCAAACTAATAAATGTCCAGAAGGTAATGGCCACCACTCTGAGCACTTCTTAGGTAACTGTAGCACTCCAAGGTAATTGTATGAATCTCATGATGTCTCCATAAATTTAGTATTAAACTATTTATACAAGTTTTTCTTTTCCAGACATATACACTTTTAGAAGACTCTGTGACATGTGTGTGTTATACACACACACACACATATGAATATATGCATCGTATAAGTTTTTACATATATTGTCCATCATTCTCATCATACAGTCAAGTGTCATTCAGGCTCTACTGCACTAGAGGTTCACTTGAAGGAAGACTGCAAGGAAGTTATCTTGCGCTTTGATACATTTCAAAGCAGCCAGGGCTGAGTTTGACTGGAGGGATACGGAGATGTAAGAGGGACAGTAGGAGAATTCCACACCCACTTCTGCATGGTCATTATGTTTTGGGAACCTGAAGTCCTCTTCTTCCTCAGTTCTTCAAGAAACATTTCATATCCCCTATCCTGTGACCCCCACCAAGGAGCATGTTCGTGTCAGCTTGGAGACCCTGTGGCAGGCTACATGCTACATCAGTAGCAACTAGGAACATGCTGATGAATGACTCTGTGGTTATTAAATGTCATCCGGACTATCTTAAAATAATCAAACCTCAAGCCTCTTTTTGGACATTTTGTCCCCCGTTTAAATGGAACAAGCATTTAAATCAGTGGGTCAGGAGTACTACCAGACAAGGGAGACAGTCAATGAGGGAATAACAGACATTCTGGAAAAGCTGGACTGAAACTAAAAGTTCAAGTACACGTTGAGCATCTGTAATTCAGAATTCCAAAATGTCAAGAGCACCCGAATTCAAAATTTTGTCAGCACTGACACGGATGCTGTTAATGCCATTAAACTTTGTTTTACGCACAAAATCATTACAAATATTGAAGAAGATTACATTCAGGGTAAACGTATAACTGGTATAAGAAGCATAAGGAACTTTGTGTTTGGACTTGGGTCCTATCCCCAAGATATCAATGTATATGAAATATTCAGAAATTTGAAAAAAAACCCTTAAATCTTGTGTATGAGCGTGTGTGTGTGCGTGCGTGTGTGTGTGTGTGTGTGTGTGTGTGTGGTACTGAGGGCTGAGCACAGGACTTTCTTACTGAGTTACATCCCCATCCCTATTTTTATGTCTCATTTGGAGTCAGGGTCTTGCTAAATTGCTAAGTAGTCCAGACTGGGTTCCAACTCTCAGTCCTCCTGCCTCAGCCTTACAGAGTGCTGGGATTACAGGTGTGTATCACCATGCCTGGCTTCCTGCAATCTTGATAAAGGATGAAGTGGGGATTTGGAAGTGAGAACTTATATAGCCCATAAATTCCCCAGCTGGGGAGAGATCAGGCAGCTTGAATCTTATTCAGAACCTGTCTTTCCCTTCATCTCTTTCCTTTTCTTATTTTTTGCTTACAGCATAGGCAATGACACAAGCTGGAAGGAAACTAGACTAGGAAAAGAGGTGATGATGAAATATACTGTCCTTGGTTTGATAAGTTTGTATTAGAGAATATTGGAGCCAGTGGTTATCCACGTCTCAGTTAACCTGGTGGTCTGTGTCTCTCATTACCCAGGGGATGAGTATACCTGGCTTTCCCCTAAAGTGTCTGATTCTGTTAAGGACAAGGTGTCCATGCAGACATTTGGAAACAGCTCACTTGGATTTGGGTGTATTATTAAGGTCTGTCCGTAAACAGCGACACTGAACCTTGGTAACCTGTGGCAAGATTCCTAGACACCAGTGTCAGGCTGGATGATTTCCAGGACCAAGAAAGAGAAGGCCTCCTTTCGAGGCAAGAAAACAGCTGGGCTGTATTGCTAAGTCCAAGAATTGCTCATTAATAGCCCATAGGACACAGTTGCTTTAGGCCGTAGGGCCTCTCTGCTTTAATCACTGGATTTAGGATTAAGTCAGTAATACTTAAACTGAAGAAAATTCAGGATTGTGTAAAAAGGCCAGACTTACATGTAATACCCCACAGCACATGAAGCACAGGTTCCTGGGTCATCTGGAAAAAAAAATTAAAAGAATGAAAAATTAAAAGTATCAGGAGTTTGTTATTTGGGAAAAGTGGACTTTGGAAAAGTTGTGGCTTAAGACAAATAACCTTTTGAGATAGTTTTATGAAATTTACTGTCCTGAAATATTGGAACAGATTGCACCATTTTTAATTAGTAACAAGAAGTACACTATACTTTATCTTTGTCCAAGGTAATAAAATAAGAGTCCTCATAAATACTTGCTCCAAATTTCAAGAAAAAGTAAGCCCAGGCTACTGGGTCTTCAAATTATAGATCGTTTACCATTTACATAAAGAACTTTCTGACCTCAGGAATGGGAGAGAGCTCAGTGGTACAACATTTGCCTAGCATGTGATTCTCAGCATTGAAAACAAAGCAACAACAAAAACTCCAGCACTCTACTGCAATAGAGATGTCACACATATAGCACAGAAACATTTGTCCCTTTCCTTGGTGGCATTGTTTGTTGTGGATTGAACCCAGGGCCTTGGGTATGCTAGGTGAGGGCTCTATTACTAAGCTATATGCCCAACCCTACACATGAGCAATTGAAAGAGGCCTTGAACTTCGGGTTTTCCATGAGTTTCTCCAAATGCCTGACTGTGGAGGAGGGAGTACCACTTGGGAGGTCCTTTGCAATCTGGGCAATTTTTTTCTAATACAAGCACCCACTTTGTGTCCTGCACTTCTCAACCCTCTTCAAGAAACTGCTCTGTTCTTGTTAAGTGTAATGAGTCAAGGTAGTTCTGTTGGCGTTGTCCTGTAAGTTTCATGGGACATAAAGACAGGGACAGGATTTTAAGAGTCGCCATCTCTGTCTGCCACACATCTTCAACCATGTCCAGAAGAACCACTCTCAGATCTGATCATCAAGGGAATTCTATAACTTTCTCTGGCACACAACTCTTAATAGCCCTGGCAGGTTCTTCCTGGGATTTTCCTTACAACCTGGTCATGTTCGTCTTGCTAATAGATGAAAAGTAACAGCTCTTCCTTAAAAAATTCATCTTGGTAGGTGAAGCTTTTGTCACTTTTAACTTTATTTAAACTACATAAGACTATGACCTTAGACCTTTATTCATAACTGTCCTTCATTTATTCTGGGCTCCCTTCTGTTTTTCTGCCTTTTGGAACACAGAGATAGCCCAACCTCCACCTTGGTAAGAGGAGTCATGCACCACCCCAAAAGCTGCAGCAGGAAGACTTCTAGAAGGGGCTTCACCACCTATGCAGGCATCCTCAGGGCCTTCTGGAAATAGCCTGGTGACCTGGCCTAGAAATTGGCCCACCTGTTTCTGGTTTGAACTTTGAACTCAGGACTGTACTTTCCGGCAGCTACTTTCTACATGTGGAAAATGAACTGCTTGGACGTGAAGCCAGAGATTCCAAAATTGACTCTCGCAGGAGTTATGAAACTGTAGTCCACCCCACCACCAGATCCAGCATTGTCCATTCATTGACAGATCATGTAAGAAATGCTTTTATGTTACAGCATCATCATTGAGTAGTCAGAACAGATCCCAAAATATGTACTATTGGCCATTTCACAGAAGTACTGACCCTACCAGTCGCACTATCAGCTCATGGCTTTGTCCTGCTCACCTTTGTTAGGCGACGCAGATGCAAATACAGTTGAACAGATGGTCCCAGAATTCCTCTTAGGGACAGAACCGTCTATATTTAAGAAAACACCCAGTTAAGCTGCTTTGGGTAGAAGTTTACTTGGGCAGGTTGAATGAGGCCCTTCTGCAGGAGGCCATAATTTGCTTATGGGATGGAAGTGGGTTTTAGTGTCTGGGTCAACATGGTTTGTAATGAGGTGACTAAGTTAGGACAATGAAATGAACAACAAACAAGGCTAGTTAAGTGGAACCAGAGAGCTGCTCATGAGAGAGAAAAGCTCCCGACATTCTTAGAAATTCTGGGGAGGGTTTTATGCTTTGAATTCTGTGGACCTGGGATCTGAATCTATTTTAAGAGGGTGCAGAGGCCCTAGTGAACTCAGGGTTTGTAGGCTGGTTCATTTCCCACAGTGAGTCTTTTTTCACATCTATATTCTTTTTTAGGTCTCCTAAGTAACTTGCTACTACTCAGTTTGTGTCTGGGCTGCTCATTTTTCTCTGCCTGTCCCTGATTATTTGACTCTGACAGTTTTGCTAATTTAGCAAGGGCTGGGGAAATTCTAATCCTGTTCTGGTCAGCCCGCCCATCTAGGAACTTAATGAGCTTGCTCTCTGCTCGTTTAAGCAGGTCACTGATGAAAATGTTAAGCAGAACCAAGCCTCAGAAATGTGCAAACCAAAGTAATTTTGAGTTCAGGGACTTTTCTGGCCCACTTGCACAGTGAATTTGGTATCTTAACAAAGGTTTGCACACGCGAACAGTGCATAGGCCAGGAACTGTGCCGTAAAACAGCTTGCAAATGCCCATTAGTTTTTCCTTATTATTACCAGTTGTTCTAAAGAATGAGAACTATGAAAAAAATGTATTTCCACTCCAGATGATCCACAAGTCCAACATAAGCTAAATGGATTTAGCTTGACCACTGTGAAGCAGTTGTATTGGAATCGAAGAAGAAACTAATCTCAAACCTGGAAGTTGACTCTAAGTCAGTTTGGCATTCAGATAGCAAGAAGGGGTGGCATAAGGAGAAAGATGGATTTTCCTGGCTCCTAGTGTGTGTCTAGGGGGTGAGGAGTGGAGAGGGAGATAAACAAGGAAGGAGTTATCCAAAGTAGGATGGTTACATAGCTTTGGTTATTTGATCTTGTCAAGCTTTTGAGCTAAGAGTACATGTTTTGATCAGTCAGGATTCAGAGAAAGCCTCACACATTTGGAAGAAAGCCTTCAGAAACAGTTGTTAGTTTCCAGCTGCTCACATCTCTGTTCAGGAGAATGTGTGACCAGATGCTGTGTCAAGATGGGGTTACAGCTTCCTTCCTTGAGAAGACTCGTTTTTATGGAGTAGGATGGACAGGACCAGAATGTTTGCTTTATCTTGAGAGTTTTGGGTGATCCTCTGGGTCACTTTCCCAGTCTGTCCTTGAAGAGCTCATTCTAAACTTGCCGTCCTCAAGGAAACATCAACTCCTACTCCAAGCATCCCCTTCAGTGGCAATGCCATTCCACGCCATTTTGTTTTCTTCTTAGTAATATTTATGGCCTTCACCACTGAACATGCAGATGCACCAGGGCCACAAAATATATCTTATCTATAAAATGTATTGGAAGGGCTTTTGTTTTATTTTGTTTTCGAGACAGGGTTTTGCTCTGTAGTTCAGTCTGGCCCTAAACTCATTACATAGCTCAGGCTGGCCTTAAATTCACGACAATCCTCCCACCTGAGCCCGCTGAGTGCTGGGATTACAGGCATGTGCCACCATGCCTGGCTTGGAAGGCATATTTTATTTTATTTTTTGGTACCTGGAATTGAACTCCTGACCTTGTGCCTGCCAGGCAGGCCCAGCACCATTGAGCTAAATCCCTGGCCCTGAAGGGCATATTCCAAATTTGGGGTGGAACATATAAAAATGTCCAGAGAAAACTTATTTTTCTGGTCTACACAAACCTGGGGTCCTATAAGTAAGGATACAAGCAAGCTAAATTGTCCCTATTTTACTTTTTCTAGTGTTATGATTCTTCTCCCATGGTTATTTCTTGAAACAAAAAAACACAAAACACTGTGTCTTAGGGATAGCCTTTTGGTATAGTGTTAATACCTACCCGAATTAGCCATGTACTCGATACCATATTTAGACAGAATTGACCTCCAGCAAAACTGTAGGGGAAAGTTGACCTCAGAGGCTCCTAAATGGCCCTTTTTATTTCCTTCAAGCTTATAGGATTTTCATCTTTTGTCCACACCCCAAAGTGGCCAGACCTCCCTCTGCCACTTCCTATTGAAACCTATCTGTCCTGTGTCCCTTACTGCAAGGACCTATTACTATAGCAGGCTACTGCTGAAGATGATAGACTGTGGGACCTATAAAATGCACGCTCCTGGGAGAATGCTAGGCCTTAGCCTCTCTAAGTCTTCTTTTCAGATTTCTTAGGCTTCTTAAATTTTTTTTCTCCCTTGACTCAAGCCACATGTAACTGCTCCATTTTATTGGAATTAGACAGCATCTGTACGCTCATTTTCTTCCAAGTGATCTCAACCTTTTGTCCTGGTCTAAGCATCTACATTCTCTGCTAAACTTGGGTTCATCTTCCTAAGATTCATCTTACACAAAGTCTCCCATGCTTAGGAAACCTATTAGGTCAAAGTCATGCTCCATTCATACTTCATAAATTTTAGTCCAAACTGCAAGCTCCATTAATAACAAAAATCTTAAGCTGCAATCTCCATACTCACTTACTGATTACCTTTTGGCTTAAAAAGCTGGCCTACACCTATAATGCATATCTGTATGCATAAATTACTATTCATGATATATAAATGTTTAAATAATTTTGCATGTATTAAAAGATATGCAAGCAGAAATTTAAGATAATATAAAAAGACCTATGAACACAAGTTCTGCTTTTTCTACAAACTGATTGTCTTGTACATCTCTCTTTGGACACCAGTGATTCACCACAACTAACTGAATGCCACATCTGAGCTAATGAATTTGTACAGAGCCAGGGAAAAAATGTGAACTCGGCCTCCAGCTGCTCCATATCTGTGTACTGTTGATTCTTATTAACTTGCTTACCCAGCATTTGCATGTCAGGAGTTAAGGGGGCCATGAGTGATACTGTCAAAAGGATGTGATTAGACTCCAATTTTCCCACCTCTCCTCCATGCTTGATGGATTTGATATATTGATTTGTCCCTTTGAATACACTTTTCTGATGAAAATCACCAGGGATCATGTCCCAACAGGAAATAAGCAGAAAGTTTATCTGTTGAAAACTGGATGAGGACCGGGGATTTAGCTCAGCGGTTCGGTGGCCTGCCTTGCAAGCGCATGGACCCGCGTTCGATCCCCAGTAACAAAAAGAA